GACCCTCAGTCCCTGAGGGCGTTGCGCAGATGGCCCTGGCAGAGGTCACAAGTCCTCGGTTCCGTCTTCCTTCCATGGTCCCCCAAAGCGACCCCATGCCCGGCCATCGGCATGCAAGCGCGGCTGGTGAATCAAAACTGGACACACCGCGACTTGTTGGTAAGGTCGGTGTGACAAAGACTTCACTATAATCTTAAACAGCTGGTTAACAAAACAACATTCTACTCCATATCAAATCACCAAGGAACCATGCAGGTCGCTGCGTTCGTCCTGGTTCTTGAGAATGAGGGCTTGTCGCAAAGAGGTCCCACTTTTTGCAGCGCCCTCTAGCAACTTCCAGATGCTTTTGATGTCCACAGTCTTTTTCAATGGAACACGCTTGCCCAGAAGTGCCCTGCGAGACGTCACAGGCACACCAGCATCATGTACACTCAAGTAGTGCCCAATGACATACACCTGGAGGCCGGCTGACAATGTCTCGGACAGACACTCATGTATGTGCATGAAGGCATTCACGACTGTCTTGGCAAATCCATGAGCCTGCCCCGACGGTTGAAGCGCTCTGTGTTTTTTTGCCATGGTTGCAAAGGCGATGATGTCGTAGATGCTAGTTTCAACCTCCTCCCAATCTCGTGGCACTCTGCCTTCAGATTCATCTCGGAGAGATGAAGACAGCGTCCTTGCATTGAACATAGATTCCCAAAGCTGCCGCAAAGATCGGGACGTGTTGCCTGCCAGCGACTTCATCATCCAAGCGGCAAAGCCTGACACCAACCCAGCTGATTGAAGAAACCATGACACTCTGCCTTCATCCAACTGCATGACCAGAGGCTCATCACTGATAGTTTCACACACACGTACCATAGCATCATTCAGTTTTCTCTTGTACCATTCCCTGTGGGCGTCTGTCCTTGTGTCGAAGGATGCTTGCAACATGAATCGGGCCAAGGCTGTGGAAGATGCCACATCCTCCTGTACAGCATCAGGGTTTGGCACTCTGCCTTTTTGACTTTGCACATGTGACCCCCAGTTCGCAGCCAAGGGGGTCTTCCTGAGAAGATCACTGAAGAAGTTGTACCATTTGTGGTACTGTCGACGTTCTGAGCCGTTCCTGTTGCTCTCATCGAAAAACAAGTCCAGACGCCACCACAGTTCGCCCTGTGAGAGCCAAGCTGCTCTCGCTGGCAGTTTTGCATCATTTTCCAAGTTAAGCAATTGCCCATCACGGAGCAATAGCATGACCCACAGTTTCAGAAGCATCACCGAAATCCTCCAAAGCAACACTGTACTTGAATCTTACTAAATACTGACACACACCTGCACTTGTGTAACAAGCCCCAGTTCACAACACATTGAATTCTTAAGAAATCAACCCAAAGACTCACGATGACATGTCAGCAGCCACATCATGTCACTCGAACTTGAGACAGGAAACTATCGCAGATGGCACTGAACTGACAACCACATGGAATGATTAACACAGGCCACCGATGCCTGCAACTGGAGGTCGAGACACCAGCCAGGTCATTGCCACCTGCACGACAGCAGCATACGAACTGAGACAATACCGACAAACACATCTGATCACGGAGTGACTGAAGCTCTCTACATTTTCATTGCACAGCTGCACCAGCTCGGATCACTCAGATCCTTCCACGAGGCGACGAGGATTTTCCTCGGCACCTCGTGGAGGGAACGGACGGGGTCCAGGGCTCAACCCAGTCCCAACATTGGAAAGCAGAATACCAACAAGACAGAATGTCGAAAGATGAAGCAAGCTCATTTAAATCTAGAGAATTATGGCACTCTGCCTTATTGGCACTCTGCCTTCAGCTACAATTCATGTTGGGACATCACTCATCATATGAAAGGCCACAGCCTTGCCGAACTCCGGGGTGTACTCCTCTGACACCTGAAGATCTTCAGGACGACCGGTGAACTTCTCACCATCTCGCTCAACGCAACCAGCACTTCCTCTGACATGGGAAGGATAGCTGCGCCGCATACCATTGATGTGCTGACAGTTGCTCCACAGTTGAAGCGGTTTCAGGATGGGCTGGCCGAAGGCACAACCATAGGTTTTGACCTTCATAGCCTGGATCATTCCCATGACACGATCGACGAGTGGAATGTCGAACAGCATGCTGGAGCAAGGCTGCTCGATCACAAACCGGTTGTCATTCAAAGCCGAGAGCAAAGTCAACAGCAGCGTCACATACATGAAACGATTGCCTTCTTGGCATGCCAGCGATCGCTCAGGTTCTCCCATCCAGTCATTGGCAATGGACCTTCCAGTACTGTATTTACAGAGTTGGACGAAGGAAGAGCATGGAGTTCCAAACCACACCAGCCCGTGTTTGTGTGTTTGACACACAGCATTGACAGCCAGGCGAAGTCCTCTCACAGAAAGAATATCATGATCTGTGCCGTACCTGATGTCCAAGGCTAGCCACTGCCAGCCAGCACGGAGCATCTCCCGACTGAGGTTGCCCTGCCCTGCAAAGATCTCCAGGAAGTGGAACCTGGCACTCTGCCTTATGTTCCGCTTCCAAGGACAAAAGTTGATGAGGAATCTCATCTGTTTCTTCCATGGCCACGAAGTCATGATGGGAAAAGTTTCTGATAACATTTGTTGCCAGATTGATATCATCCAGGAAAACCCACTGGCTTCAAGAATCAAATCATAGTTGCACTCAGGCAGAACTTCATAAGGACCTTCATTATGGAACTCCAGAAGCGACGGGTCAACTTCGCAAAGGCGCAGAACATCCTGTCCTCTCGAAATGGCCAAGAATCTCTTCTCCAGTTCGATGTTTGCATCAAACTGCCGCCGAATGTCTGCTAACAGTCTTCTTCTTGTTTCAGCCGGGTCATCTGCTGCTGCAGACATGGCACTCCGAATTGCACTGTGCATGGCACTCTGTCCTATCAGCAAGAAAGTGTAACACCTTAACCTCAAGGGTGTTCGAATTAACAACGTAATTGTGAACCAGCACATTCAGCAGTTGACACACTTGTGAGTCGATTGATCCATCACAACACAAGGATGAGACAGACATGATGCAATCACTCGTTAAAATTCACATGTGGCATAGTTGTTGCAGACCATGACTTCATGCTCAAGCAATCAAATACAGCACTGCCAGACCCTCACTCGATTCTCGTTTTTCTGGTACCGCACACAGCAGTCCATCCATCGTCCTCGACGATTCCGAGGCCACCGAGGTGGCAGACACAAGCATTCTTGGCACTCTGCTTCTGTAAAGTTTCCAAGCTGTCATTGAAAGACATCAACCTTAGGGCCACCAGAAATCTTCAGGTGGCTCACAGTCGGAGGGTGGTTCTGAGGAGATATACCCCGATCGACGACCACGAATGCGAAATCCTTTGCCTTCACCTGCAGAATCATACTGATTTGAGTCTGGGGACGACTGAGCTTCGTCCAGTGCGTCCATCTCCTCATTGTCTGACTCCTCACCTTCCTACACATCTGAGGGGGCTCCATCATCCGCTGAGCCGCGCTGACTCCAGTCCGGGTCTTCTTCTGAGATGTGCCCATAATCAATACCCAAACGACCCCGCCCTCCAAGCTCACCAAGACGAACATCTCGAACACCTTCCT